TGCCTGCATGTAGGTAAGTGCACCTGTGTTGTGCAGTGCCTGTGGAGGACAGAAGAGGCTGTTGGATCCCCTGGAACTGGAGTTATGGACAGTTGTTAGCTGCCATGTGGGTGCTGGGATTCGATCCTGGGTCTTCTGCAAGAACAATCAATGTTCTTAACTGCTGAGCCATTTCTCCAGCCCAGAAGTCCTCTTTTAAGCCAGGTGTGGGGCTCATGCCTGAAATCTCAGCACTTCAGAGCCTGAGCCAGGAGGATCGTGAGTTTAAGTCTAGCCTGGGCTACACTATGAGACCTGGTTCTACCCCTACCTCTCAATCTCTTTAATGCATCTGCTTCAGGTGTGGGGTATTTTTGACTTTATGTTTACCGGTACTCAATTCACATATTGAAGTGTTATGAGTAGACCATAAATTAGATAACTGGTTCCGGTATGTGGTATGGGGCTCTGGCTGGGGCCATAGCATGCATATCCCAGTATCTGAGATAGGCAGTTAAGGGTTGACATGTTTCTGAGGTAGGAGAATAGTGGGGGAATGAATGCTTCTCTTTATGTTCAAAAGCCAGGGCCTTGGAATGTTTCTGCACAGATTTATGTATTCATTTTTTTTATTCATTTTCTTAGACTCTTAAATTTTAAATGTCTCAAGGGACTATTTAGTGTAAGCTTATTTTATTCAGACTGTTCGTGTCATTTCATTTCAAATATCTGCAGAGATGCATTGTTTCCCACGTTACAGTTTTTAAAAATCTTGTCACTTTTTCAGAATTTAAGATTTTTTTGTTATATTAATTAGAATAACCTGGTGGATCTTAGACCAAGATAAGAAATGCATTTTAATGCTTTATACTATTTATTTTTTTGAAGGTTTTCTTGGAACAGAAGAAAATGTTAAAAAGTGGCCTTAACATAGCCCACTTTAAACAGTATGTTTCTATAATTGAAAAAGAAACAAAGGAATATTTTCGAAGTTGGGGAGAAAGTGGAGAAAAAAGTAAGCATCCGCAGTATGCATATGTATGTATACAGAGCATAGTACAGTGTGCGTAGAGCTACCTTGAATCCTTGAATCTCATGAGAGGGATGTGTTCTGATTACCCTGCAGTTGTAATGCCCAACCCAGCCTTGGTGCTGGACTTCTGTAAGTACTGCTTTCAGAGAAAATGGCCATATCCCCGTCAGGAAGTAATATCTGTTCAGAGTCCAGTACCACCCAGGGCAGCAGGCTATACCACATTCTTGCTTTGGGAATTAGCACCTATAAAAGGTGTAGGAATTTTATTTTTAGTACATTCAAAGCTGATATGTTATATTTCCTATCACACAAGAAGCGGGTGTGTACATTAGAATGCCTATTTATTTATATTTACTTATTTATTTGAGAAGGTCCTTGCTGTATAGTCCAGGCTAGGCTCAAACTTTCAATCTTCCTGCCCTCTGCCTCCTGAATATTGAGACTACAGGCGTGATCCCAGTTAGAATGCCAAGTTAATAACGGTGGCACATGTGGGAAATCCTAGCATTTGGGAGGTGGAGGCAGAAGGATCACAAGTTTGAGGTTATCTTGTGCTACCTAGTATGACCCCAGTCTCAAGCAAGTCCAAATCTAAGACAGACAAAACCTGCAAACAAATACATGACATTATTGTAGCACCAAGAGGACCAGAATACTTGCTGATCTAATTGGAATGTCAAATGTTAACTGGAAGTTCATCTAGTGAATGTGGAATTAAAGAACAGAATTAGATAATTCTCCTGACTTTTAAGTGCCATCAAAGGGGCTTCCCTGATGCTTGTCTCCAGTGTTGGGATATGGCTGATCATAGTTTTCTTTTACATTCAGCCAAGATGTCAGTGTTTATTCCACATTTTCCTTCATTTGGCCTGGGAAACATGCAGCCTTTGAATTTTGGACCACCGTTTTTGGGAATGATGTCATGATTGTCCTCATATGTAACGAATGATCTTTTTGCTGCTTTTGCACTGTAACCTGGAAATCAGATAACCACACTTATTTTTAATCTGTGTTTTATCTTTTGAAGATGAAGAAGCTCATAAATGAGGTTTAGAGGTGCTCTGTGGCATTGATTTTTGGTTGGTCAGAAGGGGAGCATGTGGCCCATGAGTTGTTTATTGCCTTCAGTGTTTGGATAGCCTTAGTCTACCTGTCTGTACAGGTAGTTGGTTTATTGCCTTCAATATTCTGGATAGCCATAGTCTACCTGTCTGTAGACTTTTTGGTGGTAGGAATAGGATTGTGCCTCTTGGGAGGTTTTTTTTGAGACAGGGTCACAGATCTGCCTGCCTCTGCCTCCCAAGTGCTGGAATTAAATTGAGGGTTTTTTTTTGGTCTTTTTGAAGCAGGGTCTCCCTGTAATGTAAGCCCCAGCTGTCCTGGAACTCACTATGTAGACCAGGCTGGCCTTGAACTCACAGAGATCCACCTGCCTCTGCCTCCCAAGTGCTGGGACTACAGGCGTGTGCCACCACGCCTGGCTTGTTTGTTTGTTTGTTTGTTTGTTTTTTTCAAAAAACAAATTTCCAATTTTCCTTCATAGGCTCTATATGTTCAGGAAAATATTTCAAAAGCCTTTTGGAAATAGTAACAAGAATGATCTTTTCTCCCCTTAGATGTATTTGAAGCTCTTTCTGAGCTTATCATTTTAACAGCCAGCCATTGTTTACATGGAAAGGAGATCAGAAGTCAACTCAATGAGAAGGTAGCACAGCTGTATGCCGATTTGGATGGAGGTTTTAGCCATGCTGCCTGGCTATTGCCAGGTTGGCTGCCTCTGCCGAGTTTCAGGTATGGATTGGGACCATGTTGTACTTGGTTATTTAACTTTTTATAACTACTGTACTGTTTGTGTGCTTTGAAAGTTGAGCAGATTATGAACCCCTACCTATTTTATAGGATTTCAAGACAGATTTATCTAGTGAGTTCGTTTAAAGTAAATTTCAGTTTATAAGAAAGTAGTTTGTGAAGTGGGGTGTGGTGGTGCATGCCTTTAGACCCAGCACTTGGAAGGCAGAGGCAGGCTGATCTCTGTGAGTTTAAGTGGGTGCACTTAAATATATGTAGATGATAGACACATTGAAAAAAAAAAAAAAGAATTGATTTGGGTAAAATTAGAATTTTGCATTAATTGAGACATGTTTTCTGTTGAATTGGAAGATGCTTGTAAAGGAATTTCATGCTTGTTTTACCCCTTAATTACAAGAAGGTAGTGTATTAGTGATGTGAGATATGTGTGATGAAACACTATCCTTGCTTAAGGATTGTTGAAATTCTTAATATAAGAATTCATGTAGGGGCTGGAGAGATGGCTCAGTGGTTAAGAACACTGGTTGTTCTTGCAGAAGACCTGGGTTCAAATCCCGGCACCCACATGGCAGCTAACAACTATAACTCCAGTCCCAGGGGATCCGACTGCCTCTTCTGACCTCCGTGGGCATTGCACGACATGAATGTACTTACTTACATGCAGGCAGTACACGAATACACATGGAAAAAAAAAAAGTTCATGTAGCCGGGCATGGTAGTGCATTCCTTTAATCCCAGCACACGGGAGGCAGAGGTAGGCAAATCTCTGTGAGTTTGAGGTCAGCCTAGTCTACATAGTGTGTTCCAGGCCAGCTGAGGCTACAGGGAGACCCTGTCTCTAAAAGACCAAAAAAAAAAGGAGTTTATGTTAAAAAAAAAGAAAAATTAGAAAGGGACTGGAGAGATGACTTAGCAGTTAAGAGCACTGGCTGCTCTTGCAGAGGACCCGGGTTTGGATCCCAGCACCCACAAGGTGGTTTAACAACTGTCCACCATTCCAATTCCAGGGAATCCGACACCCTCTTCTGGCCTCCATGGGCATTGCATGACATGGGTACACTTACACGCATGCAAGCAAAACACTTAAACACAAAATAAAAATAAATAAGAAAGAATTTTAAAAGAGTTTGATGTCATTTTTCTTTCTTGGTTCTGGGTTGCTTCAAGCTAGGTACAGGTCCTGGGTTGCTTCAAGCTAGCTAGCTAGGTATAGGTTTCGATCCTGTAAAGTATTACTGTGTTGAACCGGGCATAGTGGTACACCCCTTTAATCCCAGCACTCAGGAGGCAGAAGCAGGCAGATCTCTATGAGTTCAAGGCTAGATTGGCCTACATAGTGAGTTCCAGGCCAGCTGGGGCAACAGGGAGAACCTGTTACAAAAAAAGCAAAAAAAAGTATTACTGTATTGAAAATACTCTGCTTCTTAATTACAGACGCAGGGATAGAGCCCATCGAGAAATCAAGAATATCTTCTATAAGGCAATCCAGAAACGCAGACAGTCAGAAGAAAAAATTGATGACATTCTCCAAACTTTACTGGACTCAACATACAAGTAAGAACCTTGCAGATCACTCAGCAAGCTGAAGCAGGAAATTATGTAGAAAATATTTAAAATGTAGAAAAATATTTCCAGCTAAAAAGTAAGGATATTGAAAAAACAAATTGGTAGCTATAACCTTTGTACTTCTAAATTATTGAGACATTAATTCCTGTAGTCTCATGCCTTACTGCATGTCAGTGACTGGGCATAGTGAAAATTTGCAAATAAATTGGAACCAAGTCTTCTATGTAAAAGGTCATGTTTTCTGTTGCTCCGACTCTTTCCCAAGTGGGGAGGGGGCACTGATTTTGCTAGATAAAGGAAAGAGACTGTTATGATTGGGAAATGTACTCTATAGGACCCCCTTTTTAGGTTGCAACATGAAATGTGTCTGTCAAATGTTAAGTAGGTGTGTGTGGTTCATCCCCAGGGACGGGCGTCCTCTGACAGATGATGAAATAGCAGGGATGCTTATTGGTCTGCTCCTGGCAGGTCAACACACCTCCTCAACTACCAGTGCCTGGATGGGCTTCTTTTTGGCCAGAGACAAAACACTTCAACAAAAATGCTACTTAGAACAGAAAACCGTGTGTGGTGAGGATCTGCCTCCTTTAACTTATGACCAGGTTTGTTTATAAGGGACAATTTGAGGTTTTCTATATACTGTAGTTTAAACTAATAAGCTTCTCTTACCTAAAAGAAACTAATGCTATTGTTTCTATTCATTACAATTTATCAGATAGATTTTGTATTCTTAGAGCTCTTTGGAATTGTTTCTTTCATTTTACTTCCTTGGAGTTACGTCCTTGACTTTAAAGTCTGGCTTCTATAGGTAGAGAATAGTATGTGTATGCTGTGTCTTAGTGTAAAAGTCTCTGGATTATTTGGAATTCTGTGATGTCCTAGTTTGTTCTTCATTGCTGTGACAAAATACTCTGACCAATACCAACTTGGGGAGGAAAGGGTTTATTTGTCTTACATTTCCCAGGTCGCAGTTCATCAGGGAGCCCAAGGTAGGAACTCAGGGCAGGAGCCTGGAGACAGGAGCTCGAGCACAGGCCATGGAGGAATGCTGCTTACAGGCTTGCTCCCTTGGCCCCTGCTCAGCCTGCTTTCTTATGCAACACAGGCCCACCTGCCCAGGAGTGGCACCACCCACAGTGGGCTGGGCCCTCCCACATCACTCATCAAGAAGATCCCTTCAGACATGGCCATAGGCCAGTCCAATAGAGGCAATTCCCCAATTGAGGCTCCCTCAACCCAGATGTGTCAAGTTGACATGAAAGCTATCCAGCACATGTGACTTGTGGCCTGTGTTTGGGCAGAAAATTTCTAAAGTAGTAATGGTAGTAATGGGGACTAGAAATCCACACACTGCACCTACCTTGGGCAGAAAAGCAAGAGAGGACTCAGTGGACAACCGGAGGTCCATCTTTGGAGCACACCCTGCTCATGTCCTTTTCTTGTTATTTTTTGTTTTGATCCTTTATTAATGTGGTGTTTTACATGCAGATATTCTTATATTCCTGGGACAAATTATACTTTGTTCTATAGTCCATTTATGTTTCTCAGTTTTGTTTGCTAATATTTTGTTGATGGTTTTTACATCAATATTCATAAGGATATATGGCTATAGTTTTTCTTTTTTTTGGTACCTTTTTTTTTGTTTTTGTTTTTTGAGAGAGGGTCTCATTGTAGCCCTAACTGGCCTGGCACCCACTATATAGACCAGGCTAGTCTCAGTCTCACAGAGATCTGTCTGCCTCTGCTTCTTCACTGCTGGGATTAAACGAATGTGCTTCCATGCCTGGCTGGGGAACACACTTAAATGAGATCCAAACCATGGTAGCATGTTAAGTTAGTTCACCCATGTCAGGGCATGTGTCAGTATTTCAATTTTTATCACCAATAATATTCTATAACATGGATATACTACATGGTATTTATCCATTCATTATTTCATAGACATTTTGGATATCATGAAAATTATTCTAAGTATTAAGACTTAACCCTGCCTTTTCTTCTTAACGCATCTGGATCTTTGATCTGTTTTAAGTTAATTTTATATATAATGTGAGGTAGGAGACCAGCATTACTTGTTTTTTTTTAATGTAGAAATCCATTTGTCCCAGCATGTTTATTGAAAGGACTTGTTGTTTTTCCGCAGAATGGTCTTGTTAAAACTCTATTGGCTATAAGGCTTTCATTCCTTTTTTTTTTTTTTGATATTTTATTTATTATTTTTATTTTATGTATATGTGTGTATTGCCTGAATGTAGGTAAGTTGCACCCATGTCTTGCAATGCCCATGGAGGACAGAAGAGGCTGTCGGAGCCCCTGGAACTGGAGTTACAGACAGTTGTTAGCTGCCATGTGGGTGCTGGAATTTGAACCTGGGTCTTCTGCAAGAACAGCCAAGTGTTCTTAACCTCTACACTATCTTTCCAGCCCCAAACTTAAGGCTTTTTTCTGGACTCAGACTCCCATTCCATGAGGAAGAGCTGTGTGCTCAGCTTAAATGTTGGCTACATGTTTAGTTTTTAAGTTTTGAATTTTGGAGTGTGACTCTAATCTTTTCAAAGCTGTTGTAGATTTTTAAGCTCTTTTAATTTTTATCTCAATTTAGGGTCAGCTTGTTGTTTTCTGCAAAACTTGTGATTCTTATTGTACTGCATGCATCTTAGTTTGGGAGTATTGCCATTCTAAGAGTTTTAGTTTTTTGGCCCATACCCATGGACGTAGGAAAGATTTCCATTCTTTTGCCCTTTAATTTCTTCAAATCTTAAAAAAAAAATTTTTTTTGTAAACTTTTCACTGATGCTGAGAATCAAACCTGGGTCTTCTGCAAGAGCAGCCAGTGCTCTTAACTATTGTGCCATCTCTCCAGCCCCTTGCATTGTTTTTTTTTGAGACAGGGTTCCTAGCTGTCCTGGAACTCACTACATAGACCAGGCTGAAGTTGAACTTACAGAGATCCACTTGCCTGTGTCTTCTGAGTGCTGGGATTAAAGGCATGCACCACCAAACCCAACTTTTACCTATATCACTAGCCTTTAAGTAGTCTTTTTATGTTCATTCTTAATGCCAGTTCATATCTGCTATACTATGTAGCCCTGGCTAGCCTTGAACTGGCTATGTAGACCAAGCTAGTCTTAAACTCACAGTGATCCACCTGCCTTTGCCTCCTGAGTGCTGCGATGAAAGGCATGTACCACCCTGCCCTGCTTTTCTTATACTTTAATTCTTTAGGCCTGGTTTTCCTCATCTAGTAAGTCCAAAGTTTCTTCTAGTAAGTCCAAAGGCATGGTTGCGCCCTCCCATTCCCTTCTGTAGGCTCCTGGACATCCAATACCACAAACTTGAGAGATGGAAGTCTGGTAATTCCAGATGTCACTTGGTTGTTGCTGTCACTGTAGGAGAGCAAGAGGGGAGATAAAGATGTGGCCAGCAAGGAAAATGGAAATGCTTCCACATGGCCCCCTCTGTGACTGTTGTGCCATTGTTGATTTCCACTTCCTCCTTTAATTATCAAAGTTGGACACTCTACAAGAAGGTAGTTGCTTTAGCTTAAAAAAAAGTCCAGTTCAGGGACAATTCCCATTATGTTGCCTTTTGTTATTAGCCACATCTCTATATTTTCCTGTTTTTGTTCTTTATTTTTATTGAAATCTGAACATTTAAAAAACATTATCAACTCGGGGAATCAGATTCCCTCATCCCTGGTTTGTTACTGGTGGAGTTTTGTTTTGTTGTTGTTTGTAAATGCTGTTGTGTACAGTGACTTTCATAAATCATTTCTATGAAGTCTATATTTATATAATGAGATCTGAACTTGTAACTTTTATGGTCACCTGACAATTAGATACTAGATAAACTATCTTGAACAGTATCTCCTAGCTTTTGCTGAAGGGCTTTGTATGTTTAGAGTGTGCAAATCCACAAGTCCATCAGGGAGTTAGGACCCTGCCTTATCCTTCATTTATGTATGGTACAGGTCAGTCATAAGTGAGATTAGATTCCTGTCATTATGTTATGTTGCATATTATAGCCCTCCTGTACACACATGTGGCCTTCAATATTCTTGTATGTTAGAACATTTCAAAATCTCCTGTAGTTATCTCATTTCTCATTTCCCAGGATTTTTTTTTTTCAAGCATCCTGTTTTAGCCCTAGTTGATCGAAGTTATATTACTACCTCAAATACTTGTAATGTTAAACAGTGTTTGCTGATTTGGTGGTTGGTTCATTCTTTTTTCCTTTTCTTCAAAAAAAAAATTTTTTTTGCTTTATTTGTATTTTATGTATGTGTGTATTGCCTGCATGTATACAAGTGTACCCGTGTCATGCAGTGCCCGCAGAGGACAGAAGAGGGCTTCAGATTCCCTGGAACTGGAGTTATGGATGGTTTGTAGCCGCCATGTGGGTGCTGGAATTAGAACTCGGGTCTTCTGCAAGAGCAGTCAGTGCTCTTAACCACTGAGTCATATTTCCAACCCCACTTCATTCTTTTTGTTTTTTGTTTTTTGAGACAACTCACTGTAGCCCAGGCTACCGCTAACTCCTGGTCATCATCCTGGCTCAGCCTCCTGACTGTGGGAGGGATGTGCCACAATATCCAGCTAGTTCTTGGTAAACGTGGTCTGACTCCTAAAGTTGCTAGGTTGCTGTAGGTTGCCATGCTTTTGGTTTCAAAGGTAACTGTCAGTCTGAAAGTAGTGTAAGTTATATTACTATAAAACTTGCTCTTATTACCAAGATGCAGCTGTTTATCTTTTTGAATTGACTCTTGTTGGATTGTAATAAACTTTTGAGGCACTAGAGAATGGTTAAATGATTAAGAACACTTGCTGCTCTTGCAGATGACCAGAGGATCAGAGGACCTGGGTTCGGTTCCTAACTCCAGCTCCAGGGTATCTGACACCCTCTTCTGGACTCTGTGGGCACTACACAGTGTATCTGAACACTTGCAGGCAAAATACTCCTACACATAAAATAAAAATAAATAAACTTTTTTGGGTTGGAGAGATGATGGCTCAGTGGTTAAGACCACTGGCTGCTTTTGCTGAGGAACTGAGTTTAGTTCCCAGTATCCACATGGAAGCTAATAACCATCTGTAACTCCAGTTCCAGGGGATCTGAACCACCTCTGCAGGTATTGCATGCACTTACATGCAGGCACACCGTCACACACATAATAAAAGTATATAAATCTTTGTCTAATTTATCAATTTTGAAAATGTTATTGATTCTTTTTGATAATCCTGTTTTTTGGAGGCGTGAACTTTGTCCTTGCCGTACCATTGACCCTCTTCCTGTTGCCTTCTCTGTTCCCTTGCTGACCGTGACAACCTTAGCCATCATGAGCCGTTTGTCTCTCTCTGCCTTTTTACTCTCATATGAACCAGGAAATTAAAATAACTTTTTTTCTACTGTTGAAATATGGTGAATAGGTATTTTAAAAAATCAGAAATTCTTTCCTTAAAAATTTTTTAATAGCCAGTAATGCTTGTAGGCTTTTGAGACCTCACTGGCCAGTGAATCCAAAGGCAAAAACCCATTTCTTCCACTGCACTGGGCTATTTATTTGGTACCCCATGGTGTCCAGTACAGCATTGTCACCCCATTATAAAGTAACTTCATTTAATATATATATATATATATATATATATATATATATATATAGTTTATATATGTATATTGTTTATATATAATTGTTTATATATATTCTCATATATATATATGAGAGAAGTTATAACAATATCAAAGAGAATATTTTAAATTACAAAAGTGAAAAATCATCATTGCTTCCATTTAATTAATTACATATTTTTTGAGACAGGGTCTTCCTATAGCCCCAGATGGCCTAAATTTTGCTATGTAGACAAGGCTGGCCTCGATTTCACAGAGATCTGCGTTCCTCTGCCTCCTGAGTGCTGGGATTAAAGGTTTGTGCCACTGTGCCTGGCCCCTCCATATAATTTTTTTTTTTTGTCTTTTTGAGACAGGGTCTTCCTGTAGCCCCAGCTGTCCTGGAACTCACTATGTAGACTAGGCTGGCTTTGAAGTCACAGAGATCTGCCTGTGTCTGCCTCCTGAGATTAAAGGTGTGCACCACCATGCCCAGCATAATTTTAAATTTTATACTGAATGTATTAAAAATTTTACATAGTAGATTGTATACATGCTAATCCAATGCTAATTATGTTTTTCCTTTTTAACAATTGCAGATTGTTCTTTTTTTTTTTTTTTTTTTGTCTTTTTCAGACAGGGTCTCCTTGTACCCCCAGCTGTGCTGGAACTCACTATTTAGCCCAGGCTGGCCTTGAACTCACAAAGATCCACCTGCCTCTGCCTCCTGAGTGCTGGGATTAAAGGCATGTGCCACCACGCTTGGCATCATTTGCAGTTTTTAAACACAGAAGTGCCTTCCTTTACTGACTTTAGTATGGTCTGCTGTAAAAAGATTCCAAGTATGAATTGCATAGGTCAGATTGTTTGGGCTCCTTGAAATTCTACTCCACTTTGACCTTAATTTGTATATATACTTTGAATTCAGTACTGGCTCATTTGCAAATAATTTTGAGTTGGCTTATCATCTAGACACTTTAAATATGTGTACACTTCATGTATATTAATGCTTTAGTGTATGATGGTCTGAATATTTAGTACTATGTTAAAAAAATTCTCTAATGAAATATGTTTCTTTTGCTTTGTAGACTGTGGCAGGGTACACCATTCCTCCAGGACATCAGGTGTGTGTTTCTCCCACTGTCAATCAAAGACTTAAAGATTCATGGGTAGAACGTCTGGACTTCAATCCTGATCGCTACTTACAGGATAATCCAGCTTCAGGAGAGAAGTTTGCCTATGTACCATTTGGAGCTGGTAAGATGATTACATTTTAGGTTGAAGTTTTTGTCCTGGCACTATATTTGCCCCTCTTCAATTAACCCACATGAATGTTTATTTTTATAAAGGTCTTCCCTCTTCATAGGAACATGCTTATGGGAATTGTTTAAGTGAATCCTTGTATAATGCTCCGTTGCTTTCTAATGTGCCTAGTTTTATTAGTTCAAATTTTCATAGTCTACCCTTGATTTCCCTTATAAGAATATCCAGAGTCTTGTGAATTCTGATTTAAAGAACCCTGGGAGTCAGCACACCATTCAGGGAATTATTCAGGTTACATAACAGATTGTCAGCATTTCAGAAAGATAAAAGTATGAAGGCCTTTGGGAACTTTAAATCCTTATACAATAAACAGATTTAATAACATTCAAAGATCCTAGAGTAATAGTTGAAAGGGCCATTAGCTTGTTAGCTCAGATTCTGTAGCACGTAATCATTTCTAAACTGGTTACTGGCCCCCACATCAGCTTTTTGGTAATGAGTTGCTTGCTTACTTTGGGTGGTAGTTTATTCCATTTTTGAACATCTGGTGGTAAATTCTTTTCACATCTTGTCTGTAATTGATACTAATCACAGTCTGTTTTCCTTTGTTGTGTTAGTGTTTAGTTTCCGTGATTAACACAACTTGGGTGCCTCAAAACAATGACAAATTCCTGTCCCACTGTTCTAGAGGCTGCTCATGATACTGATGTGTTGGTAGTCCATGCTGTTTCTGAGGGTTCTGGAGCTCTTGCTTCTTCCTAGTTGCAGACGATACTAGCAGTCCTTGGCCTGAGGCTGCACTGCTCTAGTCACTGCTCTGCTCTTTATTATTTATCTATACTTTTTTTAATGTTAGATTTTATTAATCATCAGAATTTATCAATTCTTTTGTTGATTCAGTTAGGATACTTCTAGATTATTGCTATTAAAAATAACCTTTTTGTGTAGACCTTTCTTGAACATGAGCCAGTGTGAAAATGGCTGTCTTAAATGTGGCTCCCACTAATAAATGCAGTTACAGGCTAAACAAGTGGAGTGATAAGCATCCAGGGTTAGAGTGGTTTTTTTTTTTTTGGGCAACAAAGGTTACAATGAAATGCCCAAATTATAAAAATTAAAAATTTTAGAACATTATTTTTATTATGTATGAATATTCTGCCTGCATATATGTCAGTGTACCATGTGCATGCCATGCCCATGGAGGCCAAAAGAGGGCATTGGATCCCCTGGAATGGAATTATGGACAGCTGTTAGCTACCATGGTGGGTGATGGGAACTGAACCCAGGTCCTCTGCTAGAGTAGCCAGTGCTTTTAACCACTGAGCCATCTCTCCAGCCTCCAAATGCCCAAATCTTATACCATCATTCAGTTTGGACAAACAAGTAACCTTATCTTTTAAAATTTTTATTTTTATGTGTGTAAGTGTTTGTCTTCATGTATTTGAGTGCTCAACTTGTGTACAGTGCTCATGGAGGCCAGAAGAGGGCATCAGATCCCCTGGAACTAGGGTAACAGATAGTTAGCCGCCAAACTCAAGTCCTCTACAAGAGCAGCCAGAACTCATAACTGCTGAGCCATCTCTCCAGCCCCTCGTTGTCAGTTTTTAAATGGTCATTGTGTTTAGTCCTGAGTTACGCTAAGTCATGGAGGGTGTTTCCTGTTCTTTGCTAAACCTTAATGACTTTAGCATTAAAAGAAATTTTATTTTCATTTTATGTGTATGAGTGTATTGTGTACATGTATGTAAGTGAACCCCCGTTGTATAAAAGCCTGCAGAGGCCAGAAGAGGGCATTGGATCCCTTGGAACTGGAGTCACAGACAGTTGTTAGCTGCCATGTGGGTGCTGGGAATCTAACCCAGGTCCTCTGGAAGAACACCCAGTGTGCTCTTAACCACTGAGCCAGCTCTCCAGCCCCATGATTTTAGCATTCATGATGAGGTTCTTGTTTTTATTTTAGTATGGTGTGAGACAGGAATTGAACTTTGTGTTGTTTTAGTGATTGTCCCAGCACCCACCTTTTAGTGTCTTATTCCAGCACCATGTGTTGGAAAGACTTTTTTCTTTCTTGTCTTGCTTTCGTGCCTTCGTTGATAACTAGGTAGCCATCAGATTATTTCTGGGCTGTGTTCTTTCTCTTTGATCTATTGGTTCTTAACCAGTACTACACTGTACTGGTTATTGAACCTTTAGTCATGAAGTCGAATTTGAAATCGATTTAAATTCTCCAGTGTAGTCCATGTTTGTTTCTTTGGCCCTTTATTTCCTTGTGCATTTTAGAATTTGCTTGTCAGGTTCTCCATGTGTAGATTCTGATCTAATTAATGTGTTATTTTGGGTTTATTAAATCCCTTTCCTTCCGTAACCATTCATAATGGCATCTGAAGTTTTGATTTGCAGGCCATAATTTTAGTATTAAGGCTCTCTTTTGAGACAGGGTCCCCAGGGTCTCACTATAACCCCAGCTGGCCTAGAACTTGCTAGGTAGACCAGGCTGGCCTCAGTCTCACAAAGATTCCCCTGCTTCTGCCTCCCGGGTGCTGGGATTAAAGGTGTGCACCACCAACCTGACTTGAAGGCTTTCTTGAGACATATTCTCATATATTCCCAAACTAGATTACCTTTTTATGATTTAAATATTCTGTATATCTGGCCTCAGTATGATACTACATTTTTTAAAAGGTCATCATTATTTACCCAAGGTTTCCTATAATGTTGGAATTTTCCTGGGACTTTAAACTTTATCTACATTCTTGTTTTATGTGAAAGATGTCATCCTTTTATTATACCATTGTACATATCAAATGAGATAAACAAATGTCACCCCAGGCTGAAAAATGCAAGATAGAATTTAAAAATGATTCTGATATGATTTTGTTTTTTTAAACAGGGCGTCATCGTTGTATTGGTGAAAATTTTGCATATGTTCAAATTAAGACAATTTGGTCCACTATGCTTCGTTTATATGAATTTGACCTCATCAATGGATATTTTCCCAGTGTGAATTACACAACTATGATTCACACCCCTGAAAACCCGGTAATCCATTACAAACAAAGAGCAAAATGAGAAAGGCTGCAAGGAACTACCGTGTGATTCCTCCCTGTCAGCTGCAAAAGCATTGGAAGAAAATGAAGTTTACAAAACAGCTTTTCTAGTGTACTGTTTTTTGAGTGTGTAATTCTAAAGCAGTTTATGATTTTAATGTTTTTTATTAGCTCAATGATTTTATCAATTCTAATGGCATTTGAAACTTTATAAAAGTTTTGATATGATGTGTGCTTCCTGGAAGCCAGGTTTATGAGTAAACAATCTTTTAGAGGAATCTAGGTAGTTGGCAGATGCTACATAGTAGAATGCCCAGGTATTAACTTCAAAAGCACACATTGCTCTTGGCAGTTAAGTTCAGGAGATTCTAGTTTGGAACTAGTTCTGCAAGGTTTAAAAGCCTAGAGGAATTCTGTAAAGGCCATAGATTGTTCATATACTTGGGCCATTTTTGTGGGTAAAGATCTGTGAGGATAAGGAATAAACTCATGGCCAAAGCTTCCAGTAAAAGAGAGTACTATGCTGGGTGTGGTAGCGCACACCTGTAGTCCCAGCACTTGGGAGGCAGAGGCAGGCGGATCTCTTTGAGTTCAAGGCCAGCCTGGTCTACATAGTGAGTTCCAGGAGATTACAAAATTAACCTACAAAAGTCTATAGCCTTTCTATATACCAATGACAAGCAGTCAGAGAAAGAGCACAGGGAAACCCTCCCATTCACAATAGCCACAAAAAAATAAACAATCTCAGAATAAACCTGACCAAAGACATTAAAGAACTCTACAGGAAGATGATCAGGACCTAGGACCTTACCGTGATAACCATGTCTCCTAAAAATAATAAATTGATACTAAATAGTGCTTATGTATGTTTGTGGTTCCACAGTCACATTTCTATGAAAATCCAAAATCAGATCCTTAAGGGATTTTTTTTTTTTTTTATATGGTGTAAGGTTGTTCTCTTCATCCTATCCAGAATCTAGTTAGGGAAGTTTTGCTTACCAGTTTTATTGACTCAAACAGTTAAGCTTTTTATAAAAGTATAAGATCTGGGATCAATTAACTCTGGCTTTAAGGAAGGGAATGGGAAAGGTGTCATCAGCTGTGTTCTGGGAAGGCTGTGTTCAGGAGCCGACCTGAGATTTTAACGGGGCCAACTGTGTGAAATGCCCATGATCTGTGTGTACTAAAGGAGTCAACATATTTTCTTTGGCTCAGTGTGGTAGTACATACCAGTAATTCTAGCACTCATTCAGATGAGGCAGGAGGATTGTAAGTTTGAGGCCGACCTAGGCTACATAGCAAGACTGTCTCAAAAAACCAAAAAGGAACTGCCCTCCTTCAAAGAAAAACAAAAAAACCACCTAAGAAAATACCCTAAGAATTTTTTCCCCTTATGTATATTATAGTTCTGTTTAAGAGGCTTGAAGATTCCTATTAAGTATGAAGGCCAAATCTGCTGTTAAATAATGTTTCACATTAAAGTTTTCATTGAGAAAAATAGTGTGAACTCATGTATTTAAAAGTGTGTGTTTCAGATGGGTCAGTGGTTAAGAGCACTGACTGCTCTTACAGAGGACCTGGGTTTGATTCCCAGCACCCACATGGCAGCTAACAGTCATCTGTAACGCCAGTTCCAGGGGAACTGACCTCCGCAGGCATTGCATGACATGGGTGCACTTACACGTGTGGGCAATACACGCATACACATAAAATAATAAAATTTTTTGAAAAAGTCTTATTTCTATAGAAATGACTTCTTTTGTAATCCTACATATTTTATGTCATTAAAAATATTCTGGGGCTGGAGAGATGGTTTTGCTACCTAGTTTTACTTTTAACAATTATGTAAAAAGTACCACGTTTCAGGGGCTGGAGAGATGGCTGTGTTTCAGAACACTGACTGCTCTTGCAGAAGACTCGGGTTTGAATCCCAGCACCCACATGGCAGCTAACAACTGTCTGTAACTCCAGTTCCAGGGGATGCGACAGCCTCTTCTGTCCTCCGCAGGTAGTGCACAACACAGGTGCACTTACTTACATGAGGCATAACTCATACACATAAAATAAAAATTATATTAAAAAAATTATTCTGAGTGCTGGGCATGGTGGCCTACACCTTTAATCCCAAAACTCAGGAGACAGGCAGGTAGATTTCTGAGTTCAAGGCCAGCCTGGTTTACATAGTACATTCCAGGCTAGCTGGGGCTACAGGGATACCCTGTCTCAAAAAGACAAAAAACATTCCGATAAGTAATCTAGAGGTTTCACCAGATTGGTAGATACTCGTGGCACAAAATGAGTTAACCTTAATTAAGGCCAGTCGGCCAGTCTGTTTAGTGACTAGTTTTAGATGTTGACCGATTTTTTTTCAGTGCTGATGATCAAACATACAGGGCCAAAGCACTAGAATAGATTTAGGTTTTGCTCACAGACCAATTATAATTAGGACTAGTTATTTTGAGTATGTGCATATGCTGTGTAAATGTGCACATGTGTACGGGTGCCTATGGAGGCCGAGAGAGGGCATTAGATCCCATGGAGGTGGAGTTACTGGTAATTGTGAGCACACCCTCTCCCTGCCCCATAGGTGCTAGGAATTCAACTGGTCCTCTGTAAGAGCAGCAAGTGCTCTTACCCACTGAGCCATCTTCTTCAGCCCCATAGACCAGTTATTGAGAAACATGAATTGCATTGACTGCAGAGGCCTAATGCCAGGAGGGTTTGTACTCCACCAGTGGGGTGAACACAGCTGGCAAGCACTTGCACATCTGCTCTTCTCGACTGTTTCCCTAACAGAACTTCCTTGAATGGCAACCATATTAGCTTTAAGAGGTGTTTATGCACAATTTACCCTCTTCAACTATGTGCTTTTGAATAGCTTTGCTATTTTAGAAAGCCTAGCTGCTAATATGGGACATTAATTAGAAATTTCCAACGGTGTACAGCTTGTGGCTATTTGTGCTGATATAAATCACAGACCATCAAATAGTATCTTCCAGGTGTAAGCAACAAAGCTGGGCCTCTGTTATCTCAGAGCTTCCCAATCTATTTTGGCTTATTAGCAGGAGTCCTGCTGAATTTTGCCTCATCATGATTGATACAATTTTGTATTCTTTGAACTAAATGATTTTTGTGTCAAAATTTGTGAAGAGGCTTCTTTGGATAGAAGTAACATTAAATGCAATAAAATACGGATTGGTTATGAGAATGTCAATTAGTGTTAAAAAAACACTACCACACGATTTATAGATAGTTGCTGGAGAGGTGCATGGGAAACGTTCTTTAATGGAGAAGAAATGCACTTTAAGCTCAAAGTCCTGCCTATCTGAGATAAATGGCAAGATGATATGCACAGTGAGCTGCAGCTTAGTTAAAATGAAGACGGTTTGAATGCAGTGTCATGAAAATGGTGAAGTCATTTTTATTTCAGTACTTGACAAAATACCCCATAAAATTCAAAACTTCTACCATTATACAAAAATAGGTCTCTACAAGTGGTATGTTCTGTCTTCATCACCAGTAGCAAATATATTAGGCAGAAACATGTAACTTCAGTAGCCTTAAAAGGAAAGTGCAGGACACCGCAAGCTACACATTCAGCAGTATCATAATTCGCAAAAGTTTAATATTTTCACCCATTTGATAAATACACAAGGTTTATAATTTAATCATTTAAATTAGCATTCCACAAATATACATGTAATTTAATGATTATTGTGCATGAACACATACACAATGCTTATATACACAAACTCCAGTTTCTCTTCGTGTTCTGGCAAGGCTTTTGTATATAATCAGAAGCTGTGTTTGTATTGGTCCCATGGAATATTCACAATACAAAAGCACAAAAGAGCCATTGATTTACAAAAGGAAATGTGTTGAAAATAACTTCAATTAATGATGCTTCAAAGGATTATCTTCTCATACCAGTATGAAACTGAGTAGCTGAACCTGTAAAAGGAAAGTAGGACAATTAGACTGCTGCCTAATTAAGCTAGCCAGTTCACACAAGGTGGGAGAGAATCCATTAAAAAAAAGTCACTGTGCTTAGAATTAAAATGTTGGGGGCCAGTGAGATGTCTCAGTGGGTAATACATTTGCTGCTGAGCCTGACAACTTGAGTTCTGTCCCAGAAATCTACATGGTAGAAGGGGAAACAAAACAAAACAAAACAAAAAAAACCCCAAAACTATTTTCTGCAAGTTGTGTTCTGAACAAAATAAATATAAATCTTAAATTCTTCATACTTGAATTTCCTTTTTGAGACTATCTATTTGGATGGCACCATGACTGGCCCTATAGCAAGGGAAGGAAGCAAGACTAATGTTAGTATGTTTAATGAAGTACTCTGAAGGTTGACTGTTCTGTATTGTACACATCTTGAAAAGTCTTTTGCTCTTCAAAACCTCAGCTATGATAATAAAATTTACTATTACTACAAGTTATTTGGGTTAAATAAATTATTTTTTTTTCCTAAGTAGCCCTTGCTAGCCTTGAACTGTTTCTTTTGCTTTTTTTTTTTTTTTTTTTTGGGTCTTTTTGAGACAGGGTCTCCCTGTAGCCCCAGCCGACCTGCACTCACTATATAGAACAAAGTGCAGAGTGGCCTTGAACTCACAGAGATCTGCACCTGCTTCTGCCTCTGGAGTGTTGGGATTTTTAAAGGCATGTGCCATCACACCCAGCTACAAATGTTTTTTTTTTTTTTTAGTATTTTATTATATTTTATGTGTATGAGTGTTATGTGTGCATGTATGTACACACTGTACTCATGTCGTGCAATGCCCATGGAGGACAGAAGAGGCTGTTGTGGAGTTACGGACAGTTGTTAGCTGTCATGTGGGTGCTGGGGTTCGAACCTGGGTCTTCTGCAAGAACAGTCAGTGTTCTTAACCGCTGAGCCATCTCCAGCCCCACAAATTTTTCTTAAACGAAGCGTTCAACTAACTTGTAGTTCACAGTATGTGGCATTAATACAGTCCTTAATAAAAATAAAATGACCCAAGTTAACTACTGGCACAATAATTAAAATGATTTGGTCTTTGGGCCAGAAGTGACTGAAGGAAGACTGAAAACAAGTTTTCCATAGTGAACGCAGAATCCATCTCTACATAAAGTGTGCTTTGGGTGTCGTTTTCAGGAGAAAAGATCATTCCAACAAAGTTACCGTTAAAATTTTTTTTTTCAGTTACATTTTTTTGTGTGTGTGTATGTGTATGTATGTGTATGGGAGGTGACTGTGTGCTATAAGCATGTATGTGGAGGTCAAGGACAACTTGGTGGGGATCAATTCTCTTCCTCCATATGAGTCCTGGCATCAAACTCGGATCGTCAGGCTTGGTAGTGGGCACCTTTACCTGCTAAGCCATCTCACTGGCCCTAGAAAGTCCTTTATATAAAGTATGACACTTTGGATTTTTGAGGAGAAAACGATCATGCTCACAATATCTCATGTGGGCTGGCTTGTTTCAGATGACACACAAAGTGCAATGTAGCAGAGGGAATAGGGCGGACATTCGTATGGCAGTTGCTTCTGCCTTCTCTCCACAGCTTACTGCTTTCTACCATGTGCTACATGACAACACGTTCTGCAGTGGACCGGAGCCTCAAGTGCCTTGCAGATGGGAGCTCCATCTGCATTTTGCCTAATCTCAATGAAAACAGTACAGAATCATTGGGGTGGGGGAGGGGTCATGGAAGACTGGAGTGATAAATCATATCTTATTAAAGTCAATTTCTCTGGTCACACAGAGTTTAAACTTGGACAACTTGGTAATATGCACTGAGCTGAAGATTTGATAATCCTCAACAATGAATGTCAAAGTCAAAAAAAGAAAGGAGAGGTGTCAGTCTAGCACTATGACATTGTGGAAGAAAGTGTTTAAAAATACAGCACCTGACTGTACAGTTCCAAGTCGTCTTTGCAGTGCCTCTAGCCTAGTGATATAATCTGTCAGAGCTCTATCAGGATCATAATTCTGAAGTTGAGAACATGCCAGGGAACCGGGATTTAAATCAGCTGGAGTGCCTGGGTACCTAAGGATTAAAGTATATTCATAAATCCAGATCCTGCAGAAACAAAGCAGCCAAGTTATCAGCCTTCCCTCTTCCCCGCTCTGCACACTGCCCAACTTACATCCTGTACTTCTAAATTTAGGATGACAAGGAACTATTCAATAAATCCAAAGAACCCACTGTCCTAAGGTCCAGTACAAAGTGCTGGATATGTATTAGGCAACCTGTCATGCAGACTATCATGTTTTGTTGTGGATGGTGGTATCAATTTTATTCAATACCTTTTCCCCTCTTCCCCGCTCTGCACACTGCCCAACTTACATCCTGTACTTCTAAATTTAGGATGACAAGGAACTATTCAATAAATCCAAAGAACCCACTGTCCTAAGGTCCAGTACAAAGTGCTGGATATGTATTAGGCAACCTGTCATGCAGACTATCATGTTTTGTTGTGGATGGTGGTATCAATTTTATTCAATACCTTTTCCAATGTCTATAGTGTGTGTGTGTGTGTGTGTGTGTGTGTGTGTGTGTGTGTGTGTGTGTGTGTGTGTGTGTATATATATATATGACAAACACTTGGGCCAATTATGTTTCTTAGTCTCTTAAAAGCCATTTAGAGGGCTGGAGAGATGGCTCAGCGGTTAAGAACACTGACTGCTCTTGCAGAGGACCCGGGTTCAATTCTCAGCACCCACATGGTGGTTAACAAATGTCTATAACTCCAGTTCTAGGGAATCCAGTACCTTCTGGCCTCCACTTACACACATACAGGCGATGCACTCATACACATAAAAATAAAATATAAAAAAAGCCATTTAGGAATGAAAAGGCTAGCTCTGATTCTTAGCCATAAGTTACATAAACTACATATAACTAAAGATGTCTAGCTCACAATTCTAAGAAGTCAAAGCCCTAATAGTGTCTACTTCTCTCTGATATGTTTATATTTACTGCAGCCAGGTTTGAGAAAATTCTCACCTATTTTGAAATGGCAAAGGAGATCTAGGATAGTCCAGATCTGATCTTGAGCGATATGTCATGTGTCTGGCTTCTCCATACAGTTCCAGTCCACCAGAAGAATGATAAAACGGATCAGTCTTTTCAGCACCTAATGCAATCCAAAATATACCACCATAAAGAAAAAGTACCAGGTCATTGGAAGATTTCTAAAAAACTGGTAAGGGCTTAAAAGAACAGTACAGGTAGGACACTATGTGCTATTTATAGTGAGTTACAATTCCTACTGAAAGAGAACACTATATACTGGTTTGTCTCCTTGTTTGAATATGGCTATTTCTGACTGTAGAACTGCGCTTGAAGAAACATAAATGAATATGCTCTTTGTAAAGACCTTTGCTGTAACAAGATAAAAGGGGAATGGTTTCTGAGTGTGAAATTTGGGGAAAAGCTGATGTGGATAAAAACAAAACAAAAAAAAACTAGCGAGGCAAGTCCTTTTATCACTGTCTTCTACTTGCTTTCATTGGAAAAACATGCAAGTAAGAGGTGCTAACTTTTAGTACAACACATAACATGGTAAAAATTTCAGTTCCAGTATAATATTTTAAAATACTTTCAAACCCCTAAACGTGGTCCAGCACTGACCAACAGCACAGTATACAGTGCCCTTGACTCTGCGCTCCACCTCCCGACATTCTTACACACCACGTTAAGCCCCAATGTTTTTTCCCATTTACTTCTAGCTGGAGAGAGAAGGAATTTTAACTGTTGCCATTACTATATAACGACATAATCTCAGAACATTAATAATGCTTTTTGAAAACTTCACACCACAATTCTTCCACCTGACTAACAGTAATCCTCTGTAGCCAGGGGGCTCAGGAGAACAGGCGGCGAAGGGCAACTACCAGGGCTTGGCTTGGATCCACTGCTAACCTACCCAGTAATCTGGGGCAAATGGCATTGCTCAGGGTTTTGTTTTTTTTTTTTTTTCTTTTTTTTTCCTTTTTCTTTTTTTGAGAAAGGTGTCACTATATAGCTCTGCTATCCTGAACTCAGAATATAGACCCGGTTGACTTCAAACTCAAGAGCTCCACCTGCCTCTGCCTTTGCCCCTGGAGTGCTGGGATTAAAGGTATGTGCTATCATGCCCAACCATGGTTCAGTGTTTTATCTGTAAAGTGCAAGTAACAGTAACTGTGCTTGCATCATAGGACTGAGAGAACACTTGAAAGAAACAGGGCACTCCATAAAAATCAGTTACTGTTCTCTTAACAATGAAGTCTTCAGCCTTGTTCAAAGGGTACTCACTGTCTTCGGACAACATCAGCTTCAGGATTAGTTATTTGACAGCTATCAACACATGCAGTAATTTCAGTCATGAATACAGAAAACATGCTATTTTGATCCTACCTGGACTCAGGCCAAAACCATCCCTGTTAATATTGATGGAACTAGAACCTGTGACTCTGTGCCACCGCCGAACCAAAAATTTCATTCTGAAAGAGATCCCAAGATAAAACCTCAAAGCACATCTATAAAAATATAAACATGTATGTGCCACAAAAATTCAGCCATTTATAATTATGAACAAAGAATACATTTCAGCACAATCACATGACTGCATCAGCTAAACTACATAAATGCCCCTGGTTCCTGGCAAAACCAACTAGACCAAGACAGGGCTGCAACCTCCCCTTATTCCTCAACATTGCTAGCATAAATGGGGCAAAAGTAGATAGAGGCAAAAGTAAACAGAAAAAAAGGAAAGAGGGTGAAAAGTCATGGGAAGAAGAGCAGGGCTAGAGAGACAGCTCAGGGTTAAGAGCCTGCACCGTTCTTCCTGTTCAGTTCCCAGCACTCATGTTGGGTGGCTCACATCAACCTGTAACTCGACCTTCTGGGGATCTGATGCCCTTTTTTAGCCTCTGCTGGCACTGCACTCACATGCACATACTGTTCCCCCACCCCCAATGTACATAATTAAAAATATCTGAAAAAAGAAAGGAGGAAAGAGTGGAGAATGAAAGGCAGGTGAGGGGAAGAGAACACATTTAAATAGGCAGTGAGAGGAAGCAGGAGAGATGGAGGAGCGTTGGCGCATGTGAGCAGGAACAAAAGGCAATAGTAGCTTCCAAAGGAATGAGGCTGGGTCACTAACTAGCTGCACTGCTTGCTGATGGCCCATCCTGGCCCATGGAACTTTTGGGAGTACCAGTTTTGATTTGCTAATTCCAATTAGTTTCAAGGCCCTGTTTAAGGAGGATCAAAACACAATGAACATACAATGGAAGGGGAAGGAGGATGAAGTGCTTCAACAGCAGGTTCTCTGTGTTCATGGAGTCTCCCTACATCCTCTACTCAGCAGAAATTTAGAGCATTTAGTGCCTGCTGATAAGCTCTGGGCAAATGATTTTCCCATAAGAAAGCAAACTGCTGTTAGGGCATCAGGCAGGCGCTGTATCTTTATTAATGTATCCCACTGTGCTTAGCCTGTCTTACCCTACATAAGGTGTTAGAGTAAGAAAACTCCAGCTCCTGTTTGCAGCTGCCATGAGACACCTGAGTCACTGGCTGGTTGTGCTTGTAGATTTTGTAACCTCTTCCTGCCTTACCTGTGATCTAAGTTTCTGGACCAGGTAACCCTCTGAATAGCTTCCAGTTAAATTCCTTTATAATGGGGTCATTTTTATTATCTGTGTTATTTTTG